CTTAAAATATCGAAAAATATACAGCGCGCGAATTTTAAATGAGAATTTCCGAAAACTTTTCAGTCTTAATGTACGTGAAATTCACAATACATGATGTATTAAATTGATTTTTCTTAAAATTTATTAGGATTCAGACCATCTATGTTGACCTTATCTATGCTTAACAAAACAGTTAACTATCTTTCATGTTTTAATATTTTCTTTTGTTTTTTTACATATAAATGATGTTTAAATGTTTTGTTAAAGAACAAACAATAAAGAAGTTCTTTGATAAAGAACAAGAACAGCTACTGTATTAATGATTATAAGGCGCTATATATAAGACACTGTTCAATGATATCATCTGGTCGGATCCTCACTTCAAAAGAAACACCTATGAGAATTATTAGAAATAGTGACACAATTAAAAAAAATATAAAATATAATGTGCTTTCAGAATTTGTATTGAGAAAAATAATTAAAAGGAACGATCCTTTTTGCCCGATCTCTCCACTATATTCATCTCAACATCTGTAATATATCACCTTCAAAATGTTTTTAATTTTTATTAAATATTCTCCTTTTGAACTTAAATTAATTCCTAAAATCAATACAAACTTGCATGTAATCCATTTTCATTTGTTAATTCCAGAAAATTCAATTTCCATTCAATAATATCGAATCTGCATAATTTAATTTCCAAAGCATAAACATGAAATCTGTACAAGCTATCGCGCTTATATGTCAAAGCAAGTTTATGCACCACTGTTGCCTTGATTAACATAAGCACTCACACAACCAAAGCGGCAACGCAATTAAACTCAATTGCACTCAACACCCATTAAGCTCAGAATGCTTTTCCAAAAGCGCTCGTCAGCGTTGTACGCTTATTGTTGCTATTTCTTCGTTTTCGTTTTCGTTTTTGTTTTCGTTTTCTTTATTTGTTTTTTTCTTTCGTTCGTTCTTTCGTTTTCTAATATGTGAAACATGAAAGACTGCAACATCAAAGTTGCTACCAATTTCTATTGTTGCACTTACTTCTCCTCCTTACCACATGCTGTAAGCTGTGTATAGCTGTGTATTGAGTTTACAGTGGTATTGCAGGGAAATTTGAGCCAAAGCCCACAAGCAATGTGCAGTTGCGTTGATTGAAGACAATTAAAGGTAAATTTTAATTTTTTTTTTTCATTTAAAACTTGTGTTCTTTTTGTAAGTGTGTGTGTGCGTGTATGTTAGCAGTACACTTGCCTTGAGTGTTTGGTGTGCTTATTTATTTTACATTTTTTGTTTTTGTATGGTTTTCATGTAATTTTCAAATTTCTTATTTGGACACTTGCATGAGTACACTAACACATATAAAATTGAATTGAGTTGAATTGAAAGCATTGAAATTGAAAACAATTGAATGCAATTGTTTGTTCAACTTCCTCACGTTTCATTTAAATAAATAATTTGCAAATCATTTTCGCCACAACTTAAGCACGTTGAGTTGAACATGCAACTCGTGTAGTTTTTGTGTATTTTATTTATTAGCGGGACGTGCGGCAAATGTGTTAAGTGTGCTGTGTGCTGTGTACTGTGTACTGTGTACTGTGTACCTCACTTTTATTAAAGAAATAATGCAAAACTTATAAAATATGCAATTCTGTGCAATCAAAATAAAACAAAATTAATTTTTGAAATTGCTTTGCCGCGCAAAATTTCATATGAAAATGCATAATGAAAATCAAATTATTGTGCATTATTCAAATTTAGTCGCAACGCTGTAACGCTGTAACGCCGTAACGCATTTGAAATTAAAAATTCGCATGCATAATGACAATTTTAATTTACATTTTAATTTTATTTACCATCGAAGTTGCATTTGCAGTTAGAATTGTTGCTGTAACCGCCCCTGTCACTGCTCCTGCTAGCAGCAGCAGTAATTTAGACAAATTACCATTGACATCGTCAAAATCGTTCACATCCAAACAAATGTCAACGTCAGCCATTTTTATGCCCAATTGCGATAAAGTCAATAATGTTGACATTGTTGTTGACAATTGTTGCAGTATTTCAAGTACGCAAATGCCTTTAAATTCTGCTCACACATATAGGAATGTTCCACATTTTCCAAATGGAACTCAAACCACCGAGAACACACATAGAAATATGCATGACCGAAATGCTTCAACTATTGATTTATTATCAGTTCTAGTGGGGGAACAAAAAATCACAGATGCTGCAACCGAATTATCATCATCGTCGTCAAATTCATCAGCAGCAACGCCAGTACCAACAACAGCAATTTCATCGGCTCAATCGCCAACTGCAGGAACAGCAACATCATCATATAAGTCTCAACGATTGCTAAAGCGTCCGAAACGTTATCTGTCATTTCCGGAAGGTTCAACATTAACAGTATGTGCTGCTCTGTTACACTTCAGCGTAGGCGTTGAAAATACTTTTTTTTTATTTTCATTAAATTGTGGAAATTTAAAAATTAAAACTTACAAAATATTAATCAGAAGCCATTGAGAAACAATAGTAATTTGACAGTGACAAGAGAATGAGTTTAATTGACATAAAATCGACTCATTTGGAAGTACGAACTTCTATCCGATGACTGTTAGATATTCACTTTTTCTACAAAAAAACGTGCATAAGTATATATAAAGTGTGCATATCACTAATATTTTTGCCGAAATAAGTATAAAAATGAAAGTAAATTAAAGTACTTTTATCAAAATAACATATTCAGTGGGCTAAATGAATATAATCTTTCAAAAAAATAAAATATACTCCTCTAAGTAGTACAAACCTTCTCTTTCTATTATTTTTTCCACCACTTTATATATAAATACATACACTGCAACAAATATAAACAATAATTAAAAAGCAAATAACATAACCCTGCCTCAGTTATTTGATCATTTGAACTTTTAGTATTCTGAATATGATTGTTTTGCATTTTCTAAACTAATTTTTTAATTAATTTAATTTCTAATTAATTTATTTTGTAAGCAATTTTCTAAAAAAATTCCCAGCATCATAATATAGTTGTGTTTTTTGCTAAAGAGAACTAAATAATTTTACGAAGTCGTAATTGATCGAAAATCGATCGAGACCCAGAACTGGTCTGCCTTCTTGGTAACACTAGTATTAAGAGTCTATAAACCTAACTTTTTAGATGATTTTATTTAAGAATCAATAAATTTATAGTTCACTTATATCTACTAAAATAGTGAGTCTTGAAGTTGATATGCCACTCAGTAATATCAGAATTGATAGCGAAAAAGTCGATTGTCTAGTTAGTAATACTACAATAGGATTGTAAACACATAAATCTTCTTGTAATAGATAATATTCTTTGAAATATTCTTTGAAAATCACACTGAAGTTCTTTCTACATTTAACAGTTTTGATGTCAAATCTAAATCTAGTATCTTTTGATCACTTTAAGATCTTTTCTACTATATAACACTAAATATTTATATAGGTGGCAGTTTGTTTTACTGTTGGAATCATCGGTAATCCACGATATGATTATATGAGTTTTGGGCTTAATTGGGGTACTGGATATGATTTACCCAATAATAGTTGGATTCTTAATCATTTACATGGGTTTTCACGTCACCCAGTTCCTATTGCAGCTTTACGTAGACGTACACGCCGTGCACTTTACCAAGAAGTAGAAATGTTTATTGACAAGTAATTCTACTTACAATTGTTATTTAAATTTATAACATATAGTTTATATATTGTGTATGTAATATTAATAAAATAATTTTTTTTATATTTTGTATAGCATGGGCTATGATGGAAGAGATTGTGTATTACGTGCTCTTTGTGAAAGTCGACAATTTTTCCAAAAACCGAAAATGGGCATGATTGGAGAAATGATGCGAGTTATTTTTAGGTAAGTAGAAATGGCTATTCTTTAATTCATTATTTTGTATTTATTTAAGCACATATTTTCAATATTATTTTAAAAAATTTTTAATACTTATTGATCATTTTTAATATCATTTATATTTTTATATAAAAAATATTTATGAAAAATGATTCTGTTATACTTATTTATTTTTATTATTCTTTTTTCTTCCTTCTTCCTTTTTCTTCCTTCTTTTTCAATTTCTTACTTCTTTTTCGTTTTAAAGTTCTTAATTAATTATAAGTTAAAGTCCTATACTTATTGTAAAAAAAATTATTTTTTTTATTTATTTGTTCAACACATCCTCTGTTTTGTTTTATCTTATATATTGCGTTCCCAAAGGTTCGATATATATTTATTTTCTTCTTTTATGCTTTTAATTTATTTCTATTATCTTCACCGTCTTTGTTAAATTTTTGTTATGCCAACAATTTATTACATATAACATTATCTTAAGCTCTAGAAGAATTTAGATGTTTCTCGTTTTCTTAAGTTCTTCAGTTCTTATATTTTTTGGGTTTCTCTGCTTTTCTTAGTTCACTTTTTTCTATCTGTATTCTTCCCTGTAATTACTATGTGAGTCTTGATTACGTATGTATTACATTAGAATGTTACAAAATCTATTTTTCTTCATTATAGTGATATTAGATTTTCTACTGTCTTTACTTCTTTTTCTCTCATAAAAATGGAAATTTTATAATAAATTTTAAATTTTAGTTTTAACACTTTCTATTAAATATATCTTTTATTGGTAGCCTTCCAAAACAGCGTTTATATACACGAGAACTACGTGAGAATCCTGGCATAGAAACGTACGATGAAGCATATCGAAATGGCCATGAGAACGATTGCGAAACCGAGTATAATTGTGACTTTTCGTTGCTTGAACTGGCTTTTGGAAAATATTCAACACCGCCTGAAAAATATTATTTTCAATAAATACTGTGAACTATAAGACATATTAAAAAAAAAAGTTTTTTTTTTGGAAGCTAATTTAATTCAATTTTTAATAAATTGAATGAAAAATGAAGAGAATAGGCAACAGTGACCCGGTCGTATATCCCGGTCGTGCTGCTAGAAACATTTTTTTTTTAAGGATATAAATAATACCATTATTATAGATAAATCATACCATAATTTCAGACACATTTAACTATTCGCCGATAGTATTTATCTGTCTCTAATACATGACCAATCATATGTTGGATTAATCCAAAATAATAGATCAACTGAAATATACATTTCTTAACACCTATTAGAATTTGCTGCATTTCTTTATATATTTTATATTTAGGTAAATAACTACAATTCTTTTAGATTTACACATGGTGATTGCACATATTGATTGAAACACATTTCCTTACTATTATCTATAGTACAACCGCCGATTCAAGTTTATGACTAATCGCCCATAATACGTGTTTAACTCTTTTGTTTGGATTAAGGCTTCTAAATATATTGAGGTGGCTAATAGTTGTTAAATCATAACAACTATTATATAGGTTTAGAGGTTTTTTTGTTGTTTATTGGAACAACCATCAACTTTGAATGTTTGGATCGTTCAGAAGTATTCACTGTAAGGACCCTGTTATACAATGTTATGATAACGTCAAACTTGAAATTGTTGTTTCAAAACACATTTTTAATGTATATTAAAAAATTGAGAATTTGAGAAAAAACGAAAATGGACTCAAATTTGATCACGGTGACGAGGTTTATGTCATTTTCGATTGATGAATCTGGTGTAACTTTTTCAATTGAAATTTACTTTTAGTATAATTTCCATTTAGGATTTGTAAATCTTGAGCAAAATGTGTAACACTCCAAATTAATTTATAACACTCTAGACATTTTGCCAGAGTAACAAGATTACCTTGAAATTAACAGCTGTTTTATACGATTTGACAAATAAAGGGTGATTTGATTCGATATATGGATTTATGAAAATTATAAATGTCTACTAAAACTACTACAAAAATATAATATTACTCTAAAAATGTTCGATTGGGCAACAAAATTTGACAGATAGAGGGTAAATCTTAATTGAGTTCAGCACCTCGTTTATATGTTATACATGTTATTTTTTCCATCTTTAATAACCTTAAATATGTAAAAATAATTCCAGTCATGAATTTTATGTATTCTCAAAGGTATATTTTAAAACTCATTACAAAAAATAATTGTATAACTAACAATTAAAAGTGATTTATAAGATTGTTTAATATTGTATCTAAAAGTTCTTAATAGGTTTAAATAATATCTCATAAAAGCTTATTATCGACAAGGATAAATGTGTTGAATGTTACTGGATACTCTACATTGTTGCCGTGAAATTGACTCATGTGATGATGTAATCAAAATTACACAATTGTAGGTAATTAAAATTTCATTGCCACTGAAAGCATAAGCACGCAATATCACTGACAAAATGCAATCACCAGCAACTCAGTAAAGCGAGATTTTCTTCGAATTAAAAATACTTAAAGCAAGTGTTGCAAGGATATTGCGTGCGCCTTGTGCAAGGACTGGCTGTAATAACAAAGTGCAACATTACTGCAGTTACAACTTTCGTAATTATAACGAAAAATGGATGTGGAAGTTTGCGATTGTGTATGCCATTGTTTTATATGAATATATTAAGCCATTAAACCGTTATGTAAGGATATAAAAACTAATATGTCGCTTTATATCACAGCCTTCCAGTTAATAACAAATATCAGGAATTTTTCACAATTAAAAAATTTAATTGATAAATACTATAATACCATGCAGCATAAAATACGTAAAGGAAGAATATAGTGTTATCATCTTTCTATTATGTATTAAATTTATAAAACGTGCTGAAATAAATATTTTTTATTGCATATTTTTCGAGACACAAACTGTATTTCATAAACTATTAAAATCATTTTAATTGCATAGCTTCAGGTCAAATGAAAAAGATCAAGAAAAAAATTTAATAAATATATTTATATTATATAACCTACTAAAAACGCCTATTGATCAAAAGTGGAATTTCAATATACGTACACAATGGTTTAACTCTGCACATTTTCTTCTCTGATCAGACTGATACCTCCAAAAAATTATATGAATATATGATTTGAAACAGATATAAAGATATATGAAGATATGAAGCAGGTATATCACATGATTTTAATTTTTTTTTTTTTGTGCTTCCCTTTATTATACAACTGCCAAGATTTAGCATTTAGTATACATTTTTACATAATGGAACTTCAAGTAATAATTCAAAAACAAGATTAAGAATTACATGAGTGAACTATTAATAGTGGATAAAAAGAAAAAGAAAACTTTTCTTTAAATTATATAAACTAAATATTATAAAATAATTAAAATTAGTTAGATTATTATAGTATTGCTAGTTCTGATGGAAATAAGCGTTTCAATCTTCTGTTATGTGTGGCTTCGTCATTAGGTAGCTGCCTCATTGTTGGGGTAGGATGGAAAAGTAATCTGTCTGTGTGCTTTTTACTATTTTTTCGGATAACGTCTGCAACGAAGGGTATCTTTAAATCGCGATGAATGTCATAGTTTGAGATGTACCATTCAGCGATGATGATAGTCCTAAGTATTTTTGATTGTAATCTTTGCAGTATTTGGATGTTGTATTTGCATGCTCCATGATTTTAATAATATCACCTTAACACACTTCTTTTTAAAATTCATAATTATAGATTAGATTCGATGGTTTATATTTCAGCTAAAAGATTCATGTATCTTATCAACAGTATTTTTTTGTTTTTCATCTTTATGGTAGATAAAGATATTAGTTATTTCGCTGTGAAGAAAGTGGATCATAAGTTGGAGAGTAGATCTTACATTTTATAAAATCTGAAAAATTTAATACCTTATTTGTTGTATGATTTTGTAACAAAACACACAGAATTGTGAAATCTCCATCACATAGAATCGTAAATCACAAAACGAAATGCTTGGCATTTCCCAACGATTTGGTTCAAAACATCGATATAAAACGATATCCAGGTTGTGGTCCCAATTTGACACTACACTTGAACTATATCAGAAACTATGTAAAAGAAAACTGTCACGCATAGCATAATAAGCTTTGTTTGCCTATTTACATTTTGGATTATTTAATATTAAACAAAAATGTGCAAATTGTAAAACTTTGAAAAAAAAAGATTATTTTTGACTTGTTCAATGATGAGACTATTCTTTTGATTGCTAGATGCGCAACAATAAAATTTGTCACACTTCGGGCAGTAAAAATTCACAAGTAACTGTGAAAGACCCTTGAATCTACGAAAAGTCATGATGTGAAGGGCTGTATTCTCTGAAAAATGACGAAGATGCAATGAAGTTCTCAACTCTGATTGCTACAGCAACACGTTTACCAACTTTTTTGTATATATATGAATATGGAAGATATGTGTTTCATCGGGGTGGTGCAATAAGGTACACGTAGTTTCACGTTTTGAATTTACACAAAGGCGATTTATCATTAGTGGACTTTTGTTTGTGGGCTGCGAAAAGAATCGTGTTTATACAAACAATCCTTAAACTCTCGATACATTGAAAACGCATATTCGTATTGAAAATTACCTCAAAAAGATTCAAAACTTCAAAGAGTAATTAAATTATGTATTTACATCTAATGATAGTATATAAACAATATATTGAAATATGAATTTAGTGTGTTTTATTTTATTTACATTTAGTTTTGCAAGAACAACCCCATATATTTTGCATGCATAATATGCATGTATTTTAATTCAGATTAAATTCAAATACCTAAGAAAGTAAAATACTTTATTTTATCAGATTTTATTTTCTTTATTCAGTTTCACAAACCAATTAACATATATTTGAAACCACGGTGATCAAACATCATCAGTATATGGTGATATATTGTTAAAGCTCAGTGGACAATGGCTGTGCAGTATTTGTTGACAATTTTCCATCCGTAAATAAGAAAAGTAACGTTTGTCATCGGAATCCAAACTGTAAAAAAATAAATATTACATATGGTAAGTACTAAAAATATTTTTATTACACAGTCTTACTATTTTTTTTATTATTCTATATATGATATTAATATATTAATAAAATATTTTATAAAAATAAAATATTTTATATAAAAAAAATAGAGAAAATATATTTTTATATTCAATTATTTATTTTATTTGATTTTCTCATTTATAAGAGCGAAAAAAATATTTATGTAAATTTCAAATTTCAGGTATGTATGTCCTGAAGAATATACAACTAAATTAATATTAAAAGAGATGAGTTTTTGAGTTATTAAATACTCGTATAAATAAATTAATGCATTATAACCAGAGATGATATAGTAAAATTCTTTTTTTATGTAGTAAAGATTCCGTCTAATCATAATCTAATCATTCATTATGATAGCATCAAGTCTATAGAAGAATATTTTACTTCTCCTATAAACGAAATCAAAGAATTGAATCCTTTCTCTATTTATATATCACAAAAAATTTTCAAATTAAAAAGACATAACCTGACTCTCTTTCCATTTTGATAACTTTAAATTTGAGAATAATTTTAATGAATTCCTTTCGAAAAATAAAATCACACCAATAAACTTCATTTAATATTTTTTTTAGTATTAGTATTTCGTCCACTTACGTAAAAATATATTTCAGTAGCTTCATTAACATTCCCGCTTCAATATTATCCTCATCTAGCATATGTGCTGTGCAGAAAGCCTTTAAAATGCAGGCTTGCCCATCAATGCCAGTTCTTATATGTACAAAATCACAACACATCAATATTATTTAGATTACATCTAGACAAAATTATTTATCTGAACTCACAGCACTTACTTATCCATAAGTTCGTGTAGTAACTCATAGGTGTCCCGTTTATAAGGTCGCAACTTTTTTTCAAATAAAATTGGTAAATTAGCACGAAAGCCAACGGCGTGAGCCCA